CTATAATGTTGAAGATGTGTCATTTTTGAGACAGGAAAATGTAATTGTGGGAATGTGTTGTTGGAAAAAAAAATAAAAATAAAGTTCAAAAAAAAAAAAAGAAATGCATTTTTTCTGGCATTAGGAACAAAGCTGGGATGTGTTTGAAGAGTCCAAAATCAGCAGTTTTTCAGAACAATTTGTGGATTTTTTGTTGTTTTTCTTTAAGAGAATACCTGAACATTAAGATTTTTTAACTATTTACTGTTTTATTTTTATTGTTCCGTCTACAATTAATATTCAATTGTTTTCTTTTAAGAAGTTGAAATAATCACAGCAATTGTATGAAAACTGCATATTAGATATGAATAAGAGTTAGTTGAACAAATGGTGCTAGGCTTCATCAGCTCAAACATGCCTGTAAAATTCCCTAAATTAAAGCCATTTTTTGAGTTTCTTCTCGGTTAGCTGTGGCAGCCATCTTGCTTCATCCAGTAGGTCTAAAATCCAGAGTTTATTCCTTTTAAATCTGTGATGATGATGCTTGTGTTTAAACAGATAAAACAAGTTTATGGTTTTGTATTTGATTTGAATAAATTTAGGTCAAATGTATTATTTCTATTTGTTTGGTAATAATAAATATAGTATTTTACGATGCGTTGTGGTTTTTATTCATTCCTACTTCTGATTTGTTGAAAAACACTCAGTCTAAACATTTTATATCTTATCTTTCAGTGGTGGGCACAATTCCCCTCCGCTAGAACTAGCTAACTTTGGAAACCATTAGCAGATCGATTAGTTTCCGCTAAATTAGGTTCAGCTAATTTTTAGTCCACTAAAATATCCACAACGTGTAAAACTCCTAATTTTATGCCATTCATCTTAAATTAAATAAAAACTATCCGCTCCTACAGGCAGCACTGGACGTGTCAGACACTGTGTGTGTTAGCTAAATAAAAGCTCTGACTGAAAGTCCCGCCCTGCTCTGCTCTGATTGGATGAAACGGCTCTGGACTTAGTCTGATTTGTTGAAGGCAGTGTCTGTTTAATCTTTATATCAGGGTCCCGCTTCCCATAGGCTTGGTGAGCACCGAACAATGATCCAGTCACACCAGTGCGGCTGGATTTTTTTAAAAGAAATCAGGTCGCATTTTTGACCAAATTGGTCGAACTCTAGAGCCCTGCTAGCTGTTGTTCTGACAGACAATTAGGTACAATCTTAGGTACGCAAGTGAGCTTTATGACGTTCCATCTGGTGCACTTTTTCTTCTTTTGATCGCACACCTGCGCTCCGGTTATGTGCAACCCTGAGTATGTAGCATCTTTAGCAGCTAAACTTCAAACTAAGAGCTTCAAAAAGAAAAGAAATAATAAATACAAAAATTAACTGTTTAAAATATAGTAGAATTTTTTTTGTTCGACCAACTTAAATGATAAAACTATAAACTTTATCAAAGAAATGCTTTTATTCTGAAAGAGTTAAACGGGAAGTATCACAAGTTAGGGCTATAGCTCTGGTTTGGATTGGCTGATTTGCCACAGATGATCCCGCCCACTTTCAAATTAAACCAATAGAAAACTAACAAGTTTGACATATTAGTGGTTAGCGTTAGCTTCCACTAATTGTTTAGCTGTTTAACATTAGCAGTGCTAAGATTCTTGTTTAGCAGATTAGCAGTTAGTGAAGCTAACGTTAGTTTAGCTGTGCCCACCACTGCTCTCTTTGTTTCAGCTGAGCTCTGCAGTCGTTCTGACATCTTACTGGTCGTAGCTGCACATTTCAAAATGCTGTGAATAAAAAGAGAAACTCAAAACGACCGACAACAACTTCATCAGAGACTAAATATAAACCGTCCCAGAGCGTTTCAAGTGGGCGAGTGTGAACTAAAGAAACTGTGACTGACAGGGGAAAAAGGCACGTGTTTGAACAGAAACATGGTGTCTCTGCTGTCAGCCCACCTGCCAACACATCAGAACCACTGTGAGCAGAACTGAGGTGTCACAGAAACGTGTCGGGTCCTGTCAGAACCTGCTTCCTAAGAGCTGCAGAACACAGACGCTCTGCTTTCAGTCCTGGGAAAATACATCGAGTTGTCATCAGAGTTGTAGAAGTTATAGATTGGTTTTAAACAGATATATTACTGTTGCTGCCTGATGGTTATTAAAATTTATGCTCTGTGATCCTCAGAATCTTAAAGGGGTCCTATTCTACAAAATTCACTTTTTAAAGGTTTTTTTTACTCAACTTTGGGTATATACTTCTTAAAAAAACAGTCCCCTAGCACCAAAAAAAAAAATGCACCCAGGGGCATATTTACTGTAAGTAAATGTATTTTTAATGTATATTAACGACAAGTTTTATACTTCCGTCATTTTGTGATGTCACAAGCCGTACGACAACCCACCTGAACCTGCGTTCAGCCCCTTACTTAGCAACCCCCGGGTGAGGCTCCACCTCCTCAATATAAAAATACACTGTGTTGTTGTGTAATGTGCAGCTCATTTCACAACAAGCCTCCAAATAGGGCTGCTACGATTAGTCGATTAATCGACGACTAATCAATTATTAAAATAATCGATGACTAATTTAATAATCGATTAATCAATTTTTTTCTTTACTTTGTTTTTCTCTCCAAACTGCTTTGACACCTTCCACTGCCACATCTGCCTTTCTGTCCTTGACACACATGCACAGTAGTGGTAACTGGGGTAGGCCGTGGACGTCACGAGACATTATACAGACAGGCTCTGGTATCATGGCTACCTGACAACAGAGCTCAAAGTGTGGGATCATTTTAAGAAAATGAAAGAGAAACCTGTACAATATCTGTAAGGCAGAACTTACCTTCCACAGCAGTTATTTTTAGTTAGCATATAGCTAAAATCTAACCATGGTTATATAATAGCACCTGCATTCTGGCGCGATAAGCTGTATGTTTTATATTCAGTTAAAGTATCATCTGATTAGTCGACTGAAAAAATAATCGATGATTAATCAACTATAAAAATAATCGTTTGTGGCAGCTCTACCTATAATAGGGCAATGGGTAGAGTGTTGGACCAGAAAGTGGGAGACCAGGGTTTGAGACCGGCACGGACACTATTTAATTATTTATTTATTTTCATTAGTTATGAACATGTTTTCTCATGTACCTCTATTGTTTAGCTTATTAAAGCCTTGTTAAAGCCTATTTGTTCGAGTTTCTGAGGTATTTTGACCGCTGCTGCTCCCTGCTCTGGTAACAGAGCGCAGAGCAGAGGGGGAGGAAAAAAAAGAATCTGGGACCACGACTCTGCCTCAGGGTCTCATATGGTTGTCCAACGGAGCTTCTGCTATTATTAGCCATGCTAACATAAATGCTGGCTTTGGAGGGCGGAGTTAATGTCAACAGATTTTTGGAGGGCGTTACCAACAGAGCTCATTAACATAAACAGCTCTTCTGAACAGAAGTCAGAGCAGGCAGAACTAGAAAATGAGAAATTTTATTATCTGAGAATTATTTTGTGCATTAAATTGAATGAACATGGTCTGGATAGCCCACAGACATACCATAAACATTTCTAGGACCCATAATATGTCTCCTTTAATGTTGCGCTGCAGACAACTCCATTGTAACAGCTTTGTTGGAGCCAAATAAATTTAAAAAGACCCTTTTTTTTCAAGCTTCAGCTTGTTTGCAGAACTGGAGCTGAGCCACTTTGTTAAAGCTCGGCTCTGTTCCTGATGTATCGTAGCTGCAGCGTCAGGCTGTATCCAGTCTGAGTGAGGAGAACCATCATTTATTATTAACACCTTCTGATGGTCCACTCTGTTCTGAGGTGGACGTTAGGAACCTCACACAGCTGCTGCTGTGGAAACATAACAAAACGTTGGCGCTCTGCTGGGTTTGTTATTTCTGCTAACAATAAGCTTCCTTTACTGAAAGGTTTCAGTTTTGTTTCTGTTTTTGGAAATGTTTGCAGCGGCGACATCATCAGATGGATGGACCCGTCTAATTCCTGATGGAAAGAGAAAATTATTTTAATTTCTTATAAAAATACAGATATTTCCCGAAAACTGCTGAAGAAGCTGAAAATGTTTAATAGCAAAACTGTTACTGAGTTCAGCTGATTTTAGCTGAAAGTAGGAAAAAATAGAAACACGTTGACATTAGAAAGCTGGTGAACAGAGAAACAAGAAAAAACAGACTACAAAAAGTTGTAATTTGTTGTACGATGGCTAAAGCAGCCAAAATGAACAGAAAAGTAGCTAAAATTAGCTGAAAAGGCTGAAATTATCACAAAGATGCAGAAAAGCATGTTGCTAAATTAAGCAGTAAGAATCTGAAATTCTCACAAAAAGGTTAATTTAGATGAAAAAATAGCTACCAAGTAGCTAAAAAAAACAGCTGGAATTAGCAAAAATCAGCTAAAATAACCATAAAAAGTTTAAATAAGCAAAAAAGCTGATAGAAGCCTAAAAAGATATATAGCTTTAAGCAGCAAAAAAAAAAGCTAAAATTGGCAAAAAATAAATAAAATAAAATAAAATATAGAAGGAAGCTAAAATTAACAGAAGCAGAAAGAACATGTTGCTGAATTAAGCAGTAAAAAAGGTGAATCTAGATGAAAAAAATAGCTACCAAGTAGCTAAAAAGGCAGAAAATAGCTGAAATTAGCAAAAATCAGCTAAAAGAACAATACAAAGTTGATAGAAGCCTAAAAAAGATATATAGCTTTAACGAGCAAAAGAAAGCTAAAATTATAAAGAAAAGTAGAAGGAAGCTGAAATTAGCAGACGCAGAAGGAACATGTTGCACATGAACATTAAGTAGAACATTAAGCAGTAAAAAATGTGAATCTAGATGAAAAAAGAGGAAAGTAGATAAAAAGGCAAAAATGAGCTAAAAGAAGCAGAAAGCAGATAGAAGCCTAAAAAGGTTTACATCAACAGAAGAATAGCTAAAATGAGCAAAAATGAAGGAAGCTGAAATTAGCACAAACCCAGAAAGAACATGTTAAAGGTGAATTTAGATGAAAAACCTGAAAGTAGCTAAAAAGGCAAAAAACAGCTGAATCGGCTAAAAGAACCATAAAAGGCCTAAACAAGCAGAAAGCTATAGTAGCCAAAAAAGTTTACAATAACAAAAGATTAGCTTAAAGAAGCAAAAAAAGCTAAAATTAGTGATGATGAAACAGCTGAAGGAAACTGAAGTTAGCACAAATAAGCTGAAGAAAGCAGAACCAGAGTAAAAGTTAAAAAGTCCAGTAAAGAATTATTAACATTTAAGGTGTTTTAAGGATGTTGATGACAGCTTTATTCATTTTCACTAAGAAAAAACTGGTAGAAAAAGCTAAAAAAGTTGCTGAAATATATACAGTTGTAGCTCTCTTTGCATAAATGAACTGAACGTTTTGACTCACGAGTTTTTAAAAAAGTACAAAAATTGTGGAATGATTTATGTGCCAAAAAATACAGAAGAAAAAAAATCATCTCTATTAGAGCCCTAATTTCCCTCCTGTTTAATCCTGAAATGTTCATTTAAAGTCAGACACTCATATATCAGCCAGAAAAGTATTTTTTTTGTTTTGAGACTGATTTACTAAGATATGAATGTGTTCAATTATTATTCCTGTAAACCTGAAAATTGTCCTTATTTCAAGAATTTTTACTCAGTGCAACCGTTTTACTGCACTGGCAGGTGATTTTCTTAATTTGAGAAGGTTCAGAATTATAATCTAGTGTTTTAAATTTATGTTTGCAGCGTTGTTGCTCAGCCTCCTGAACTCATCAGGTCAGGGCAGCGTGAAGCTTTTAGCTTTTTTTTTTTTAAATACCAGAGCTAAATGACGTTTGTCCTGAAATAAATCTGCTCTTCTTGTGTTACATGTGTAGAAAATACATTGATTCTTAAAAAAGTCAAAATAAACAGAATAATTCTATTAATATTTATAGTTCCAGCTGTGATCACACTGTGGTTGTAAAAGTTTCTGTTCTGTGTGGCCTCAGACCTGCTCCATTGTACAAGTCGGACATTTCCTGGTGAGCGGGAGGAAGGGTGGGGCTGTAGCTGTACACAGGTGTGTGTGTGTGTGTGTGTGTGCGTGCGTGTGTGTTTATGTTTATGAAGGAAGAGGACACAGGAAGAGCTGGGATTCCCAAACGTTCCTATCACTTTTGTTGTTTTCCACATTTGTGTCCTCGTGTTGTTTTATTCAACGAGTCATTTCATAATAAAACTTAACGGTTTAATGGATTTTCAGGCTTCTGAAGTGTTTGTTTATTTTTTTTGTTGATGATGATCTGTTACAGTTAAGTGTATCTTACCCCCCCTGTGAAAAGATAACTCCGCCCCAAGGCGAAATTTGAAAAATGCATCAAAGTGGGTAGGGGAGGGGGGATTAGAGAGCGGAGGTGTGGCCAGGATGAGAGAACGTGACAGCTAGCATTAGCATAATTGATGCTACATGGAGAGTGACCACAGTATCGCAGATAGTTACATCTCTGAACGTCTGAGGTGGAGGATTTTCACACCACACCAGCCTCGGACAGAGGAGGAGGAGCGCTCCGACAGCCTGACAGAAAAAAATAAAAGCATACAGCTGCAGCTGCTCACAAGATCACTAGTTTAAATCAGGAATAAAAGTGTTGGGTCTTGTTTGACTGAAGTTCGGTCCAGTTTGCGTACATTTCAACCTCTTTGGACGATCATGCTAAGCTTGCTAACTGTTCCACCCTCTGACTGCTGCAGGGGCGTGTCTTAGAGAGAGGCTTTTATACCAGAACACAGCCGCTGTGACGAAACCGTGGAGAAGACACGTCACCGTGGAGAGCYGTTAACCAATATGYAAATTAGCCTGCAGTACCACTGCTCTACCCATATGAGCAGCAAAAACACATTTTTAGACCAAATATTACAGATTTGAAAAAAATACACACAAAAACATCAAAATTAGCACAGAAACAGTACTATATAACATTTTAGACACATTCGAGACAGTTTATCACCAAGTTACTCTTTAAAGACGTTGCAGGATCAGAGATTTAACTGAATCTGTAAAGAGAAGTTTTGACTTTAATGAGGTGCTAAATGCTTTTTGTGTTCCGTGCAGGTCGGTGTACGACGGTCAGGAACATGGCCTCTTCATGGAGAAGCTCGACGCTCGCATCAGAAACCACGACAGAGAGATCGAGAAGATGTGTAACCATCACTTCCAGGGCTTTGTGGACTCCATCACAGAGCTGCTGAAAGTCCGAGGCGAGGCCCAGAAGCTCAAGGTAGGGCGGCCCGGATGGGCGGTTTAGCTGTGGACGGCCAAACATGGTCCTAATCGGTTCGTTTTGTCTCTTTAGAGTCAGGTGATTGAAACCAACAGGCGTCTGCAGGAAGATGGAAAACAGGTGAGTTTACAGCTTCCTGCTAATCCCAGCAGTCCGGTCAGTGAAACTCACCTTCCTCCCTCCTTCCTCACAGCTCACCTGCTCGATGGAGGAGCTGACGCAGTGTCGAGTGCAGCAGAGGAACATTGCCACCACCGTCGACAAACTGACGCATTGCCTTCCAGGTAACTCAAGAGCAATGACATGTTCAGAACCAAAACTTTAGCTGTATGTGGGTAACATGAGGGATGCCTTTTAAGACGGCACAGTGCGATGGACAAAGTTACGACTATAGCACACCTAGCGGTTGCTACGTCCTTGTAGCAGGAGGATATATCTGTTCTAAAGTCAACTGATCTGATTAATGATAGACCTGCACCGCTAACTGAGAGGCCAGCACTGGAAAATGAGAAGGAGAATACGCTTATGAGTTAGCATTGGAGAGCTAATCATTTAACATGCCTAGGGTGGTGTTGGCACTGTAGAGGCTAGTGACTAGTATGCCTAGACTGGTCACCCACTGTTTTAGATGTATACTTTTTATGCATACTCCAACATGAAAACACAGTCTTACTGTTGTGTTAAAATAAGGAATGTTCAGCATCTTGTGAAGTTACACTTAGGTATCTGTTTTACAAATAAAAAATACTTAATCTTTTAACACAAGCATCAAATGATTATCAGTTGTAGGACTTTAAAACTATTGTGCAAACAACTTTATTCTTGTGACTTTATTCTCGTAATTATTATTATTATTTTAATCTTAGTCTGGCCCTAATAATCTGTTTTACATTCTTTATTAAACACAAACTTTTTTTTAAAGTGGGTGACCACCAGCCTGGGCATGCTAGATGCCAGTCTCTTCAATGCTAACGCCAGCCTATCTGATGCTAACGCCAGCCTATCTGATGCTAACGCCAGCCTATCTGATGCTAACGCCAGCCTATCTGATGCTAACGCCAGCCTATCTGATGCTAACGCCAGCCTATCTGATGCTAGCGCCAGCCTATCTGATGCTAGC